AAACAGAAAATAGCTTATATATATACATACACACACACACACACAGATAACTCCTACATATAGAGAATGATTTATAAGTATGATATTTCAATAAAAAATTATTATCAATTTATTATGAGCTTCATAATTCACTGATTTATTTATGATTTTTTTAAATTAAATTTTGATTGTTTGTTTGTAGTTAGGCACAAAGCTACATAAAGGAATATCTGTGGTGTGCCAACCACGTGTATCAAAATCTGGTTTTTATTATTATAATCCATCAGACTTGCCAATGTGCCAGTGGAAGGCTAGTTTATTTAAAAATAAAATTCCAATATATGTATATATATATACTCAATTTAGAACATTAACTACAATAATTAAAAGTAACTAATCAGGGTAGGTAACAAAAAGTTCTAAAAATAAAACATTAACAATGGGTTAATTATATATCACCAAGAGGACATAGAAAAATGTTGTTAAACATCATTCAGTGGATCATTAAGTTTTGTTGATTTCATATTTACTACTTATGATAAAGCTACTTCAGCATCTCCTGCCATCCGTAATTTTGATTTATTAATAATAGGGAAGACAGTTAGTTGGAAACACCCTATCACCAACATCTACGCTAATAGATTGATTGTCACTCATATAACGAACACACGGCTTATAGTGCAAGGAATATTTTGTATTATCAGGAGGATTCAAACCCAGGTTGTCAGCTCCGATACCCAGAGCTCTACCATAGGGTTAACTTGTTCCTAGATAATTAAAATTTACTTTTACTAATTTTAATGAGCAGAAGTTTTGTTTGTTTGGTTTCTTTCATATATTTATGCAAAGTTACTTAAGGGTTACCTGCACTAGACATCACTGATTTCCAACTGATAAACAAATGGAAAGGCAGCTAGTCAAAAACACCTACCGTCAATTTTTGTTCTACTGTAATCAATCAATTGGATTTGTCTGTCACTCTTATGAAGCACCCATGGTCACACAGTTTTGCAAGATGATATGAACTATGGACCCTCGGATCTACAGTCCTGAACGGTAACTGACAGGTCATGCCTAGCCCATTGGTAGACGTAAGTCAAATTATTTGATTAAGTAATCTTAATCCTTGTTTTCACTTCTTAAAAGAACTTGAAACGTAACGAATGAAAAGTCTTGTAGAACGTGCACATGCCATGAATCATGAGAATAACTATGTACTCCGTAGGTTACAAGATAGCATGACATATGAACTTCAAAAGCAGGAAATAAATATATTTGTTACTCTTAATTGTGATTTTACTCATTCTTGAAACAGAACAGTTTCAGAGACCCCGTGGAAGTACATCTAGTTTTTATTTTAAAGCTTAGTTTCTTTCCTTTTTCTTTGTATCTTACAGGGTTCGCTGACACTAAGCTGTTGAAAGAATATGTAATGGTTTTCTTTTCATTTCACTCTCTTACCAGTTCCACACACACACACACTCACTATAAACACTTGCCTTTGTTTTATTTTATCGCACTTGTATTGTGTTTGTTTCCATTTGAGTATGTTTTGTCATTACAGATTGTTGTTTGAAGTTTGTATGTAGTTCATTTCTTTGTTGACAAATACAGTCAGAGTTCGGAAAGTAAAAAACCTATACTCCATAGTCTAGTGTTTGTCAAATCTAGTGTTTTGCGGACACACTTTTACTACTTGGGAAATCCATGTCACGAAGAACACCAAATTGCAAATGAAACAAAATATTAAGTTTGGAAAACAATGAGAGAACGGAGAAACAACTATACATGGATAATACATAATATACATTAGTATATAAAATCAAAGCATTAATTTTATTATATTTTGTTATATTAATTTTATTATATTTTTGTCTCTGTTCTCAAGAGACAAAAAAAAAACAAAAACAAAAAACTTTGGATTTAAAGATTCGCACCATTTTTCTTATTAAACAGAAACACCTTTCTTAAAAAGAATTCTATTACAATAGCTGAATCTCTAAAATGCGTTTTTTTAATCCAAACTGCTTTATTGTTAGTTGTTGTCTTAGAAATGAAAAGTTCTAAGATGAATTCTAAAATTAAAGGAGATAATTTTGATGAATTGTCAAAATGATTGTTTGCACAAATCACCAATGAAATAGTATTTTTTCCCCGAACTAAATTTTAAAACGTTTATTTAAGCTTTTGTTTAGTTGTTTGTTGTTAAGCACAAAGCTACACAATGGGCTGTATATACTGTGCCCACTACGTTTGTCGAAAGTCGGTTTTTAACGTTATAAGCTTACAGTCGTACCGCCGAGCCACCAGAAGGCATTATATTATGAAGTAATAGTGAAGTAAAAAAATAGTACAAAACAAGAAAACATATTAATATACTATTCAAAATTTTAAGTTCAATGTCTGACAATTTTACAACTGGATCTCAGACCTTCAGATTTTCATTTAACAAAACTTACTATATAACAATAACAAACGCTGATCTAAGTAAACTACAAATATCAGAATAAACTACAGAATAACATTTTTCTAATTCGTATTTTGTAACAAAAGATATTTGTATCTTGAACCATTAACTCAGATAAGTATACATGTTATATTTAATTTTGCTAATCATGGAAGAAGCACGTATATACTGAAACGTTCGACATAATTCTTCCTAACACCATCTTTATTTCCATCACTGATCCCTTATTTTGTTTCATGTCAATTACTTAAGTATGGAATTAGTCCATGTAGGATATTCTATGCACGAGTGTTAAAGTAAATGTCACTGGTCATTGAATATTAAAATTATTCTAATCATTTTCCTTTATAATATGCATACCTAGTTTTACAATCAAAGCTACAGAAGTATTTATCTACATTGAATGTACATATGACTAATTTATCCTGCAGCTAGGTTTTCTTCAGTCGTAATTTAGTTTGGCTAAACACCATTGTATTAATTTATACTTCAGTTCAAAATTACAATTTGTTTTTATTTTTTGGACATTCGCGCAAATATACACAAGAACTATCTGTGTTAGATGAACAACACCCACAACCGATTCTTGGGCTACTTTGATTGAATAATGAACCCCTACCCCAATGGCACAGAGATATATCTGCGGACTTATAACTTTTAAAACTGGATTTTGATATATATTATTGTAATTTTATTATTAATCGAGAGTTTAGTACAATTTGATTTTCTATTACAACTTATACTAACAAGGATCCCTAACACTTCAGCCTTGCTATAACACGGTCTATCACGGCATGGCCTGGTGATTAGGGTGCTCAATTCGCAATCTGCGAGTCGTGGGTTCGAATCCTATCACCGAACATACTCGCTTTTTCAATGGTGGAAGCATTATAATGTGACGGTTATTCATATTATTCGATTAGAGTAGCCCAAGCGGTGATGATGCTAACTAGCTGCCTTCCCTCTGGTCTATCACTTCTCAATTAAGAACGACGAGCGCAGATAACTCTCGATTAGCTTTGCATGAAATTCAACAAACAGGAACAAAACGATAACCGTGATAAATCCTTACTTGAGTGATGATTTCTGAATTATCTATATTTTTAATGTTGGCTTGTTCTTGTTGTTTTTTTTGTTTTTTTTGTGAATAAGAGGCATGCTCAAAGCAATTCCATAATGTAAAATGTCTGCAAGAACAAAAGCCTTAGTAGATTAAAACATCACCCCTATCCAGGTTTTGCAATAATCCAGACTCTACAATGTATTTATCAGACAATCTACCTCCAAACATGTTACAAAGCTGACCTCCTGAAGTTATAGAGACTACTGTTGTATTTTAACTTCAGACTGTTAGAAAGGAAGATGGTCTATCACAAGGAAATATTGACGTATTTATAACTTCAGACTGTTAGAAGGGAAGAGGGTTTATCACAAGCAACTATTGATGTATTTATGACTTCAGACTGATAGAAAGGAAGATGGTCTATCACAAGAAACTATTATTGTACTTTTAATTTCAGATCGTTAGGAAAGAATATAGTCTTTGTATTCTTATCTCGATACAGTTTGTGATGATTTGTGGTTATGGAAGCTTTTGCAATATGGAACCAGTTGAGGATTCTACAGTTCTAGCCTCTGTATATGGACACATTTCACTAAATTCTTATTGTAAAGACATTCTTAGTGAAAAACACTCAAACATATATACATTAGATTTTTTAGCTAATAAATAAACTATACATATTATCTAGTACTTATTGTAAACACATGGGTCGCTGTCGGCGTCTGTAAACTAGTCCATATCAGTGAGCTCGTTCTGAAAAGTGCACTCAATTAAGTCATATTAGTCCCAGAAATTTCAGAAAAAAATACTTTATCTAGGTTTATTGTTTTCCGTTTGCCATTTCTCAGCTTTCAAAGACACTAATCACCTAACCCACTACCCAAAAAAAACAACAACAACAACAACCCCTGCTACAGCACTGTGCAATGAGCTACCAATTATGATTGTAAGCAGTTTAAATTCCTGCGCTAACGTGCTCAGTGGAACTGCTTTGCGAATTACTGTATCGTATATTACACTTTGCCATCTTCTTACTGATCGTAATATATTCAATACTTCCTTTAATATTAATTGAGGTGTACTTCAATACAATTTTAATAATTAGTTTTGTAGCCACTCCAGTATAATCCCTTAATTAAAATCCCTCCAAATTGCTGTTCGTCAAATTAGAAATTATTATTTTTATGGATATCCAAAATTTATTTGTACAATAGTTTTTATTCATATATTACTCGTGAAATATTCATTAGACAGCGTTCCTATGAGGTTTCAAAAACTCCCTTTTTGTCATTTTATGTACTACTTAAAAATGAAGTTGTAAACTTCTTTTACTATTAATCATATTCTTTATCAATGATAAAATATGGAAATAAGCAAAACAATATTTAACGCTCTAGTTATTTTCAACTTCCTGTATTTTGTAAATCAAGCATTTCAGAAAAATGTACGCTGGAAAAATTATGGGTGCATTAATAAAATCCAACCTCTTACCTTAATCGTTCCACCTTTTCTTAGCACATACCCATGGTCACGTGACTGATAGATGTACATATTACCGTCCTGGCCTCCAGCAGCTAACATTTCGCCATCTAGATCCATTAGTAATAACCATCGTTACAAAAGCATATTGTTAGAAGAGAGAAAATATATAACTTGAATATAATATACAAATGTATAAATGCAGTGGCGTAGCAATGATTTTCAGCACCTAGGGTCAAAGACACTTTTGGCGCCCCCACCTCTGGAATGTTTTGATTATTTGTTTTGTGACTCATTACCCACTTAATGACAATAACAGAAAGAATTAATTACCGCCTTACACAGGCCTAAAATAAAGTCACAATATAACATCTCACGATATCACAGCTGTAAACCTGAACTAATGAAGTATAGCCTACTAGGTGTACTT